GAAAATCCAAGCAATTTTTTGATATTCAGAGGTTATATACTGGTATAATGAAATGCTGATCTGATAATCCTATGCATAAAATAAACCTCAGAAAATGAAGTATTCGCCATGCTTAGAAATGATCTTTCGAAACAGCCAAAGTGTCCATCAGTAGACAAATGGATAAAAAAGCTGTGGTACATATACACAATGGAGTACTACGCAGCTGTAAGAAAGAAAGATCTCTTGTCCTTTGAGACTACATGGAGGGACCTGGAGAGTATCATCCTGAGTGAGGCAAGCCAAACAGAGAAGGACAAGTATCATATGATCTCACTTATTTGTGGAATATAATGAACATAACAGTCTGAGAAATGGGGTAGTCCCAGAGATGTGGAGGTGGGGTACAGACTGACAATCCCCAGAAGAGGGGATGGTGGGGGAGAGATAAACCACAGAACTTATATACATGTATGTATGAACAGTGGACATGGACAACAAACTGGGGACAGGGCAGGGAGGGAGGGATCAGTGGGGGGAAAAGGAGAACCATCTGTAACAAAAATTAATTAATAAAAAAGAAAAAAGGAAAAAAAAAAAAAAAAATAAATGACTCTCAATTCTGTTCTGCTTTATATTTTTATACTACATATTTTGAAAAAGCCATCTTATTAGAGGGAAGGGAATAAAGAGATTAAAAAGGTTACCTAGAATGAGATAAAGTTACCTCATTTTATAAAAATGTGTTACTAATGCTATAAATATTGGGATGGACATATGAGCCAATAAAACTTAATGAACAACATATACACAACAAACACACTACCTTTTCTCATTAATTCCCAGGTAATCCCAAATTCATGAGTGAACAATGGTCTAACAGCTTAATTCAACTTAAATCTCTATTGAAAACTGTTTTGGTACCCCTGAATATTAAAACATAACAATAAAACAAAGCCTCCAACTCAGAAAGTTTATAAAATAATAAGGCAAGTCTGCCATATACAACATTAATTTAGTTTGCTATACAACTGTTTATTTTTTGCATAAACTCAATTAAGAGAGAACAGTATCTGTCTTAGTGGAGGGAGGGGCGCACATGGTTAGTTTACCCCAAGCCCTATAAGGTTTTCAAAACAGAAATGGAGAGAGCAGAAAAACAGATTAACGTGGATCCCCTAGTTATTATAAGGACTAAAGGAGCATGACTGTTCTCTCAAAAAAATTAAGAAATGAATTGAGGTCCTATGAGGGAGACCACCTTTCATGGAAAATTCAAATCAATTATTAAAGCCCTGATTAGCAGTAAAGACAACATATTTAAAAAGCAAAATGTCTAGTAACATTTAACTTTCAAAGCTAGCTTGCACAACTGACTTAGGACTTAAATCAGGAAAAGTGGAACAGTTAAATCAGAATTAGTTATGAATTTTATTTCTATAAAATATTAAAGATATTAAATATTTTAGGAACAGATATATAAAATCAACAAGACTTAGAGTTATCTTAAACACACATATACACCAGAACCCTTACAACTGTTTACTAACCTTCATGCAATAAGACACACACACACAACCCACCACCACCACCACCACAATACAATGTCTATTAACCTTAATGAAATGGATAACTTCAGGCCACCAAATAGATGGCAAACTAGTACTAATATTTCATCTATCCAGGGAAGTCATGCTTAGTATTGTAAAAGGGACCAAGAAGCTGGCTATTCCAAAGTGTTCTGGAGTGCTAATTCCATGATCTCATATCTCTTTCAAAATATTTACAGACAGTGACTTGGAACTATAGTAGCATGATGATTACATTTCCTTATGTATAAAAGCAAAATAACAAAGAAAACACATAAAAGAAAAAGTTTTGTTTTAGAGTTGTCCTACTGCTACAAATCAATCATGGACCAGCCTGCAACAAGTAAGGCCCAAATAAAAATAAAGTCTAAATCATTGATAACAAACTGACAATTTCTACTAAAATCTATAAATAAGCACAAACCAGTATTAGCAGAAAACTGAACTGTAAGGACTAGACAAAAAATGGTAAAAAGCTCTAGACATAAATGTTTATAAGACAAGATGGCAAACATGAGCTGTGGACTTACCACAGATGTGCATGTAGCTTCCTGAGCAATTTCATTTGTATCATGCATAACTGATTAAAATTAATGATAATTCTTAACTATAATCAGTAGAGAAATGACACAATTCTAGTAAGCTAAACATATAGGACAAATGGAATGGCAATATGTCCAGAGAACTGTGTTGTGAGTTCACCAAGTGAAAGCCTGGGGGTAGAAAAAATGCTAAATTGTTGCACTACAGCAGGGGGTCAGCAAACTATGGTCCAACTTCTATTTTTGTAGGACCCGTGAACTAAGAGCTGACCTCACAGATAATCATTTGCCATCAATTTGATGGTAGTGAACACTAACTTTATTTTTATTGTTGAGAGTGTTACAGATGCTCCCTTTTTTCCCCACTTACCTCCTCGTTCCCACTCCTACCCACCTCCTGCTTTCCCCAACCTAATGTCTGTGTTGATTGGTTGTGCATATCTTGAATTTCATCAATAAAAATCTGGGGAAATGTATTTTCTCTCATTATATGTCTCTATGATTTGCATTTTAGCCCACAAAGCCCAAAATATTTTATCTAGCCCTTTACAGAAAAAGTTTGCCAAACCCTGTATGAGAAAATCTGAATAATGGGGAAATACTAGGTTTTTAGGAAACAAAAAGATAAAAATATTGGAATTCAGATTTGAGTGTAGTGTGGGAATCAGGAAGTACAACTGTTGAACAAAGGTTAAAGGTTCAATTGGAAACTAAAAGATGGTTACCCCTTCCTTCTTAAAAAAACACAGACTGCAAATACCAATACCACAGTGATCTCAGGTGCAAACCGTAAATTATATGGACAGCAAAAAAGATTCTTGAATACACACTGATCTTTTCAACCACACTTGCATGCATACACTGATATCTATCAAAAGTAACTTTTTTATAGAATGAAGTACAAGGATTTTAAAATTTAATCACCATCCTGTGTACAACTGGTAAAAGTTACCAAGGAGGCTCAGCCAGTCTGGTTCAGTGGATTAAACATCGACTCATAGACTGAAAGGTCCCAGTTTCATAACCAGCCAGTCAGGGCTCAAGCCCAGGTTTTGGGCTCCATCCACAGTAGGGGGCATGCAGAAGGCAGCCGATTGATGTTTCTATCTCTCTCTCCCTTCTCTCTAAATAATCAATAAAAACATTTTTTAAAAAGTTACCAAGGAATTACAGCTCAACACAGTAAAACTAAATTCAAGCTGTACAGATACAGAACAGGCTGCATCCCAAAGTAGCAAACTGATGGCTGGAAGTGCAAGAAAACACTGGAAAACCATCTGTCAGGACTGTAACTAAGAAGGTTCTTGCATTGGAGATTTTCAATTTTTCACTTCTATGAAATGAACCATTTGGAAAATCAAGAATAAAGTCCAGCCCAGCTGGTATGACTCAGTGGTTGAGTGCTGACCCATACACCAAGAGGTTGCCCGTTTGATTCCTGGTCAGGGAAAATGCCCAGGTTGTGGGCCAAATTCCCAGTGGGGATCATGCAGGAGGCGGCCAATTGATGTTCTCTCCTAATGATGTTTCTATCTCTTTCTCCCTCTCCCTTCTTCTCTTTCTAAAATCAATAAAGGGAAAAATTTTTTTTTTAAAGAATAAAGTCCAAAGACAGTAGGTGTTGCTGCTTTAGCCAAACTAACTTTAGAATGTACTAACGTAGTGGTCTAAATATATAGATTTAAAAAAAAAAAGGGATGGGAGCCCTGGCCAGATTGGCTCAACGGTTGGAACGTCAGCTTGAGGTCCTGAGAGACCCAGGTTTGGTTCCTGCTAAGGGCGCGTACCTCGGTTGCAGTTTGTACCTGGCCCTGGTTGGTCATGCAGATGGCAGCCACTCGATGTGTCCCTTTCACGTCGATGTTCCTCTCTCTCCCTCTCTGTTCCTCCTTCTCCCTCCCACTCTGCCTGAACAAAAAATGGAAAAATGTCCTCGGGTGAGGATTTAAAAAAAAAAAGGGGATAGGAAATTCTTTAAGAGATCAAATGTTACAAGTTTTTAAAATTACATTTCAAAGTTCAATTATAATCTCACTCCTACTGTCCTTAAGAGATAATATTAATTCCAAGATAATGTATATATGTGTGTGTGTGTGTATGTGTGTGTATATATATTTTATCCTCACTCGAGAATACCTTTCCATTTTTTGTTCAGATAGAGTGGGAGGAAGAGAGAGGGAGAGAGAGAAACATCAACGTGAAAGGGACACATCGAGTGGCCGCCACCCGCACAACCAACCAGGGCAGGGGACAAACTGCAATGGAGGTACGCACCCTTGGCGGGAACCGAACCCAGGTCTCTCTGGACCGCAGGCTGACGCTCTAACCACTGAGCAAAACCGGCCAAGGCCAACATAATTATATTTCAAACCTAGTATTGTTAATAACAGTGTTGATAGACCTAATAAATAAAATTATATTAAACCTATGAATCAAAATTCTGCTCCTGTCAGTGGTCCACACATACATGCAGATATTCAGTCTTTCATTCTACAAATATTTATATATTGAATAGATGCAAGTATCTCCTATGTACTCAGCAAATTATCAAGAACAAAGAGTGTGTGGTTAGAAAAAACAGACATAGCTTCTGCTTTTATTCACTTTATAAATATTTTCATGGTCTTAAAGTTTTTAAGTACTTTAAAAAACAGATATATCCCTCCTTTGCATCAGATATCCAAAATGGCTTTTCCACGATCATACAACAAAAGAATAACTCAATTAGAGCCCCAAAATCTGTGTTCTTACACTTTCTCTATAGCTGAACTTGCTATATGATCATGAATCACTTTCTCCGCTTTAAGTGTTTCTTGGGTGTGCATGTAATATGCATTCTTAGAATAGTTAAAATTCCCTCCAGTTCAAAATTCCAATTCAACCTCCTTACCTTGATTATTTCTACCAATTGATCCACACCACTGTCCCCTGGAAATATTGGTTGTCCTAGCAACAGCTCAGCCAGCACACAGCCTGCAGACCATACGTCTGAAAAAAAACCAAGGTTTATTAATACTGTGTAGCTTGAGTTGAAAAATATCTGTATACGTTTTTCTAATTTTACTTTGATCACCGAATAAATGTCACAAGCAAAAGATAGCACAATCAAGAACAGAGGAAAAAAGTCAAACTATTCCTAATGCATTTTAAAATCAAGGCCAATAACAATATTCCAATAAAAGGTAAAGTCTATTTATTATAAAATATCAGGTGTTCAAGTCTTCAACAACCAAGACAAGGAATTATAGAACCAAAACATAGGGCATGATTAGTTACTTATCATACTTAAAAATAAAAATAAGGCAAAGTGACATAATCTCTGCACATTAATAGATGTGTACAGAGTAGCAACAACCTAGGGTTCAATCTCCCGTACACAGAGTTTTAAGCCAATGAAAATTCTGAGAAAAAATTTTGGACTTTAAGTGGTTGACTTTTATGCTGTACTATTGACAGAAAAGAGGTGCTTAAATATATTACCATTTTTAAATGTAAAAACAGAAGAATATACTTTATTTCACAAATAAAGAAATAATTCACTGTTAAATCAAAGTAGAAACCTTAATCCTTGAGGAGAAAGCCGTTAAAAATTTAATTGATAAATTAGAAAGTAATTTAAAGCATACATTCTGGCTTACCCAAGAGAGTCCTGATTTAAATCTATTGCCCTGGAATCATTAATAATAGCATCTGCTTTCTCTTTTAAAAGTATTAACAAGTGGGAAGATAAATTATATGGTCACTCTATTTACAGCTCACCATTAAGTCTTCCTGTAAAGAAAAGCTAATTTTCAGTTTCTGGATGCCTGAGATTGCTGGGTTTTGAATAAACCAATAATCAAATGCTTTAGACAGATGAATATAAAATTCATTGCTGGGCTTTCCCATCTATCAGCAGGGAGGAAGAACAGTGAAATAGCATGGGACAACAGATAATTTAAGAGGTCTGATATGGTAAGATGCACTATGAAAACGAACTGAAAAGCCCCACTTTAGTGACTACTTTTTACTAACCTAGAAAAACAATGACAAAAAATTCATTTAAAAAATTCAAGTTGATTTGGTCCAGTTCCAAATAATGACAACCAAGACACCTATTTTGCAAATATAGACTAAAAAAGCTCTCCTTGACGCATTAGGTATTGGTTAAATGAAGCAAATATGAAAACCTGCTAGGAAATCTTTACTCAAAGCCTATAGTAATACTATCTTTTAAGCTCAAGTGGAAAAATATATCTCCTTATTAATGTGATTTATTTTGATCTAGATTTAAAGATATCCCTTTACCTAGCTAATTAGATGAAAGGTAATAGGCACTCACTTCTTTCCTCTATGATACAGAATAATTCACCTCAGAAGAGATGGCTGGAAAAATTGCAAGAAAATAATAACACCTTCATTAAAAAAAAAACAACAAAAACAAAAACCACCACATGGGAAACACTTCCTTGTGCAGGATTCAAGCTATCAATATGGGAGACAAAGGAGTAAAACATTAAAGTAGTTGCCACAGGAGAATAAATCAAAACACTCACGTGGTAATTATACTAGTGGTCGTCAATACATGTTAACACAGGCAAATTACTAAAACCAAGATATGTATCATTTACTTTCTGGCAGACACCAAAATTTCTTCTGTTCTTACCTCACAAGACAAATGGGTAATATTCCCCCAACAGAATAAAACAGAAGTAAACAGAAGGCACAAAAAAGTAAGTGCTTTGACACACTGAATTTTCTGGTTATTTGGAATTTAAGCCAAAAGAGTATTCTATTTCATACTTTGTTTCATGGTAAAAGCAACTTTTTAAGACCATCTCATTTAACAAACTTACTTCACAGATAAGGAAATTAAGGCACAATCAGTGACTTGTCCAAGATAAAGCTACTAAATAGCAAAAGTAGGCCTGGATCCTAATTTTAATTCCCAATCAATATGCCACTGTCTTGAATAATTACCTCATATCACAGAATAACTATTTCTTCAAGGATCTGGTAAACTCAATTCCTTATCTTAAAGAAGCCATTCTACCATTTCTTAGAAAGACAATATAATCACAGCCAACAGTCTTAGCTTTGGTTATATCCAAATATGACAATAACCTAGTCAGAACCAGCTACTCTTTTCACTTTAAACATCATTTAAAATATTTCTAAAATGTACCTGTATTAGTACACTTCTCAATACCTTTGTTTTTGTCTGTTTACAAATCTTCCAGAGTGTTAAGAGGCAATTGTCCTAAGTATAAAAAGAGAGTCCAAATACAGGCTTATAAGGATTTAAAAGGCCCGAGAGTTAAATCGGTGGCATAGGGTGCATCCTAAACATAGAAAGTCAGAAGTCAGAATCTGGCTTTATGGACTACATCAAGCTAAAAAGCTGCTGTACAGCAAAAGAAATAACCATCAAAATGAAAAGTGAACCCACTATATGGGAGAGCATAATTGCTAATGATACATAAGATAAGGGGTTAATTTCCAAAATATATAGAGTACTCATGCAACTCAAAAGGAAGACAGAGAATCCAAATAAAAACTGGGCAGAGGACCAAAATAGACACCTCTCCAAACAGGACATACAAATGGCCAAGAGACATATGAAAATATGCTCAACATCAATAATCATCAGAGACATGCAAATTAAAACAACTATGAGGTATCACCTCACACCTGTCATCAACAAATCATCAAACAACAAGTGCTGGCGAGGGTGTGGAGAAAAGGGGACTCTAGTACACTGCTGGTGGGAATGCAGACTGGTACAAACACTATGGAAAACAATATGGTGTTTCTTCAAAAAAGTAAAAATTGAAGTGCCATTTGACCCAGTGATTCCACTTCTTGGAATATATCCTAAGAATCCTGAAAGACCAATCAAGAAGAATATATGCACTCCTATGTTCAAAGCAGCATTATTTGCAATTGCTAAGATCTGGCCAAGTGTCCATCAATAGATTTGGGGGTGGGAGACGGGAGGAGGGTGCTAATGGGGGGAAAAGAAGAACCATCTGTAATAAAAATAAATTAATTAAATTAACAAAAAATGAAATCAATTCGAAGACATTAAAAAAAAGAGTCTGGCTTTAGCCATGCAAAGGAGGCTACTGGAAACAGGTACTCGAAACATCCAGAGAATTGGTTCCTAATAGAGAAAACAGACTATACTGCCCTTTTTTTGTGTGAGAAGATTTCAAAGAACTGCTAGGCACATGGACATTTTTAGAAGTAATGCACTCTTAAGAGGATCAAAGGTTTATATAAATATACCTTAATGTGTCAGATGATGTGGTCATAACTTTTGGAAAGAAGCAAATTGTATTTACTTAGATACAACTCATCCCAGTACCTGGTATGCAGATGATGAATAGCATATACTTGAATAAAATATAAAGCAGCTGGAAAAATCCTATGACATCCCAAAGATAAAGGGCTAAAATTTGCTTTGGGGAGAGTCAAATCAACAAATACCACAAAAAGAATACTACTTTACATTTCTATAGTACTTTCTTTTTTTTATCCTCACCCGAGGACATTTTTCCATTTTTTGCTCAGGTAGAGTGGGAAGGTGAGAGAGGAACAGAGAGAGAGAGAGAAACATCGATGTGAAAGGGACACATCGAGTGGCTGCTACCCGCACAACCGACCAGGGCCGGGGACAAACTGCAACCGAGGTACGCGCCCTTAGCGGGAACCGAACCCGGGTCTCTCTGGACCGCAGGCCGACACTCTAACTGCTGAGCCAAACCGGCCAGGGCTCTATAGTACTTTCACTAACATTTTATTTAATCCTCACAGCCACTCAGAAGGGTAGGCAGAACTGTTAGTAATCTCCACTTTACAGCTTAGCTAAATAGTAATAAACCTAGAACTCAAATCTAGTTCTAGTACAACCAAAATATCCTTTTCAATATTTCTTATTTGCCCCTTAACCTTAACATGTCAATGATGTAGCTGTGACAAAACTCTGAGCATTACACACACCACACACACACACATACATACAATTATACTCTCTATCCTTCAGTGTCACAGGTCTCAAGTATGGGCTCCTGAGCCCTGGAGCCCCTGAACCTTTTCCGAGTTCCTGAAGGGCAAGGCTATTTTCAAAAGAAGACTAAGATGTTATCTGCCTTTTTCACTGTGTTCACATTTGCACTAGTGGTGCAAAAGAAATAGTGGGTAAAACGGCTGGTCCCTTGGCATTTTGCCCTTTGGCATTATAAAACTGGTAGGTGTATTTGTTTAGTGATCTTTGTTCATATCAGAGATTTTCTATTTGTATCGAAAGACAAAAATCACCCAAGTTGTGGTTTTTCCTAGTTTTCTGTTACTGAAGTTTGGGGGTTGTTGTTGTTGTTATTTGTAGCTTGGTATTGTATGCTTTTGTTTCTGTTTTTGGACTAAAGAGTCCTCTTCAGAAATAATATATAATGATAAAATAATTTTGACCTCCATTTGCACTTAGCCTAAGGTTTCACCTTCTTCCTTAGCTTTCTATTTATGTCCAGTTGATCATATTCTCCATGTTCACTCCTACTACTGGGCAAAAATGGGGAAGTCAATGAAGATTGGAGCAAATTATCTCTGTTCAATTCAATTGCCTTTATTCAATTCCTCTGACACTAAAGATCTTGCATGAAGACTTCTACAGAATTAGTGGGTTTAGCCAAACTACTAATGAAAAAGACAGAACTTTTTTTTTTGGAAAATCTGAAATAAACTTACATAACTTGCCCAGGCCAGTTTGGCTCAGTGGTAGAGCATTAACTCGCAAACCAATGAGTCGCAGGTTCGATTCCGGCCAAGGGCATGTACCTTGGTTACGGTTTGGTCCCCAGCCCTGTTTGGGGTTATGGGGAAGGCAACCAGTCAGTGTGTCTCTTACATCAGTGTTTCTCTCTCCCTCCCTCCCACTCTACCAAAGATAAATAGAAAAATATCCTTGGGTGAGGATTAAATACATAAATAATTAAATAAAATTATATAACTAATTGGGACAACATAGTAAGAATGTCAACAATATGGTCATCATATTACTTTCATCATAAACTTAATAAATGCAAATTCTCCAACTACTGATCAAGCTCAAAAATGAGTAGAATTTCAGGGGAATTTTTTTTAAAAAGGAAAGAAAAGGTATATTTAGAATTTATTTGAAAGTTTAAGTTAAAAACAGATATAATCATAAAGAAATCATGCAATCATAAAAAAATAACTTCATTATTTGAAAAAATCCAAACCTAAAAGTAGAATAGTAAATATGTATCTTTTTAATTTCTAAAAGGTAATTCTTTAAATACTGTACACATTTTTGCATATCAATCTTTAAAAAAACCGTATTTCAGGGCATACTCATCTTTATATTTAAGTGAAAGTATAGATTAATAATACTAAATTACTAAAACAAGATTCAATTAATAGTTACAAGCCATTATATTCAGATTCAGTACTTACCTATACTAGAGGTATAATCAGTGGCTCCAAAGATCAACTCTGGTGCCCTATAGTACCGAGAACAGATATACGAAACATTGGGTTCTCCTCGGACCAGCTGCTTTGCACTAACAAAAATAAAAAGCAGAAAAATTTAAAACTAAATCTAAACCTTAAAGAACCTAAACTGCTATCATGCACAAAACTAAATCTTTATCTAGGATTCATGTAAATCTAATCATGTCGCACATGAAAAGGAAATACGAACCATAACTGTATCTGACAAAAGAAACACAATTTTAGTATGACTTTAATTTTAAAAGTAACAGTACTTTTTAAAGACTACATTTGTCAACTGTCACCTAAGGAAAAAAAGATAAAAAGTCACAGAAGGATAAATGCTGAATTTCTTTTGATTCTTTGTTCCCTAAATTCTACCTCTAAAACACCAAGAAGAAAGGGCAGAAAAGTAAGAGGTACCTGTTTTCTCACCAAAAAGCATGGTAACAGATTATAATATAAGAATACTTTTTACCCAATTTTTTTTTAATGGTAAGAAATTGGCCACTCCTTTATATTATGACTTCTGATTCAGAGTGACTATCCCAAGACTTACAGACCCAATCTATTTTTCCACCATCTTAGTCAAAATTAACTGTCTAAACATCCAATACTCAATAAAAAAAGACAGGCTCATTTCTTAAGGGCAGAGTTATTCACAGCCTATGAATTCTAATCTTGTTGTCCTGAGTTTAATATATATTTTTTTAATTGATTTTTTGAGAGAGAGAGGAAGGAAGAGAGAGAGAAACATCGACTGGCTGCCTGCTGCACACCCCCTGCTGGGGATTGAGCCCATAACCAGGGCATGTACCCTGACCGGAAATCGAACCAGGACCTCTCAGTCCATGGGACAATGCTTAATCCACAGAACCACACTGACCGAGCTCATTGTCCTGAGTTTAACATATTCTCTTAATCCAACTGTCCTTTCAAAACTTTATGGCATATATTTTAAACATTACAATAAATTTAGTTTCTTTTGAGATGTCTCCCAAGATAACTCGGAAACACATTGAAATAAACAAACTGCTGTAGAAGCTAACTATTCTGACATACAATAATAAGAAAAATAAACACAGGAAATTAATACAAACAATATAAAAATAAAAAAGCAAGTAGCAAGGAAAGGTAAGAAAATTTTGCGGTAAAAGTACAGGAAAATCACAGAAGAGATAGATGAAAGTGATCACAACGTCTTCAAAGTTTGGACTTTCTTTTCTTTCATTTATTTCTGATTCATGATAACTTTGATCTTAACCTAGTCTTCCTTCATCACCAATTTTGAAGGTGGGAGGCAGTTTATTTTTTGACATTTTCCACAAGCACTGACACACAGCAACCATTTTTATAAATCAATAAATATTATAACCTGTTTTCAGGTTGCATAAAAATCGCAACACTTTTCAGTATTGACTGATAAGACATTTCTAAATTGTGAAGAATTTTTTTATTAACAAGACAGATTTTAATTATATAGTCAGAAATTAACTATAAGATAGTGAAGGTAATATTGGAAACAGCACAGCCTGTATATTTCTTCACTATTAGATGGAGTCACCCTCTTTCTCTCAGGAATCAAGCCTACCTCCTTTTGGTATAAGGAACAACACTCCAAACCAACTGAGCCACATGGGCCAGACTTGACCTTGCTTTTTTTTAATCCTCACCTGAGGACATTTTTCCATATTCAGATAGAGTGGGAGGGAGAGAGAGGAAGAGAAAGAGAGAAACATTGATGTGAAAGAGACACATCCAGTGGCCGCCACCCGCACGACCCAACCAGGGCCCGGGGCCAAACTGCAACCGAGGCAGGCACATGCCCCCAGTGGGAAGCAGACCCAGGTCTCTCTGGACTGCAGGCCAACGCTATAAATGCTGAGCCAAACCGGCCAGGGCTTGATCTTGCTTTTTAAATTTTGAAATTTCTTAGAGAACATTCCTTTTCAATTTATAAAGAGCCACCTCATGCCATAATTTATCTGGTCATTTCCCTACTGACAGACACCGATAAACAATGCTATAATAAAAAACCCTGTACATACACTATTTTGTAAATGTGTATTTCTAAGGGAATAATTAGTAGGAGTTAAATTACTGGATGAAAGAGTATATACATTTGTAATTCTGACAGAATTTACCAAAACTACCCTCACATGAAGCTGCAGTACTTGCTTGAATAAGCATTACAGTATTTAAAAAAAAGATGGAGTGTAAGAGTGAGGTAGGAGAGGGAAGGGAGAAGAAAAGAGAGCTAACTCACCTTCCAAAGTCACAGAGTTTTAAGACAGCTGTATCAGGGTCCAACAAGAGGTTCTGTGGTTTAATATCTCGATGGCAGATTCCAAAGGAATGAATATAGGCTAAACTTCGAAACAGCTGATACATATACAACTGAAATAAATAGCAAAAATTAATGGAATACTTTCTATCCCAAACAATCAGAATCCTTAAGCAGTAAATAAAATAACAGATTTTCAGAACAGAACAGGTGAAATGCTGGGGATTATTAGCACTCAATCTTCCTTTAACAAGTTTCATGTCATTTCTATATTAATTAGCTAGTTCCATTAACATTATATTTACAACATCCTTTAATAACTTAAAAAAGGAAATTTTACAATGTGCCTTATAATTTTTTTTATTTTACTAACATCATACAACAAACCTAAGATTTTTTTTTTAAACAAATAAAAAGCTCAGAGAGGTATTCCAAATCATGTGACTAATAAGTAACAAAGTTTAGAACAAAAGCCAAGTCTTCAGTTTTTTAAGTTCATTGCTCTTTAAAAGTATTTGCAATTTCATCTTCAGAATAATAATTTTCTGAGATGTCAGCTCCGGAGGTTATCAATATAGAGGCCTGGAAAAATTCACATATGAACTGAAAAAACGTATAATCAATGATCTAATCAAGATAGCAGTAACGCCATTAATAGCATCACTATACTTCCTGTTATCCTCCAAAAATAAGTAGACTTTAAAATGCCATTTAAAAACAGATCCTAGCTGACTACTGCCTTCAACTTAAAATAATATTCACTTCAATTTTATTTGGGAAAGAAGCACCAAGAAACTGGGTCTGCATGGAAGAAAGAATCAGATTCTTGACTGGGGGAGAGGAATTTTATGAAAAAAGTGAGTACAACTGACCCTTGAACAACATGGGTTTGAACTGCATGGGTCCAAGTTATATGTGGATTTTTTTTTTTTTCAACAAATGTACTGAACACTTTTTTGGAGATTTCCTTACTACTGTGAAACAAACACATTGATTATACTAGGCTACCATAAAGCTATCATGTTGTTGCTTTTTTGTTATTAATGTATGAATTGTTATGACTGTAAATAAACTAAATTTCTTTTTTGTATCTTTTCAATTTTTATGTCTAATGTTAGTAATACATATAATTTCTACAGTGTTTTGGGTCATAAAGACAATAATAATACAGGTACCGAAAGACTATGAGATGATAAATCTTACATAAACAGATGATATAAACTTACAGTATCAATAAATATAGTATAGTACCATAAATGTATTTTCTTTTTTTTTTTTTTTTTTTTAATCCTCACCCGAGGATATTTTTCCATTTTTTGTACAGATAGAATGGGAGGGAGAGAGAGGAAGGGAGAGAGAGAGAGAAACATCGACGTGAAGGGACACATCAAGTGGCTGCGACCCGCACAACCAACCAGGGCCGGGGACAAACTGCAACCGAAGTACATGCCCTTAGCGGGAACCGAACCCGGGTCTCTCCGGACCGCAGGCCGACGCTCTAACCGCTGAGCCAAACTGGCCAGGGCCATAAATGTATTTTCCTTATTACTTTCTTACTAACATTTTCTTTTCTCTAGCTTACTTTATTATAAGAAAACAGTATATAATACATATAATACACAAAATATGTATTAATTGACTACTTATGTTATCAGTAAGGCTTTCAGTCAATAGTAGGCTATTAGTAGTAAAGTCTGAGGGGGGAGTAAAAAGTTAGGTGAATTTTTGACTGGGAGTGGGGAACATCAGCGCCCTTAACTTCTGAATTAAAGGGTCAATTGTGTTATCTTAAGCCTTCTGTTTATTCCAAGGTCCATGTTCTGGTTCACTTTAAATTTTTCTGACTACTCATCTTCTGACCTCTACCTCAAAGTTACATACCATGGAAAAGACCTTTTGAAATGATTCAAACCAAAGATACCAGTGACTTGATAAAAACAAAAACAAAACAAAACAAAGATAATTAAGGGTCAAATAAAACATTACCATAAGGCACCATATTTAGAGGTTACAGTTAATACAAGTTAACATGAGATCTACTTTCCTTCAAACAGGCATGATGAAAACTAGACAGTTAATTTCAGTACATCCTTAACACTATATTGAACTAAAAAGCTAGAAAAGTTTAAGCCTTCTTAAAATGAAGCATGATGTAAAATGTACAGACAAAATCTTGAATTAGGTCAGCATTTTGCCACCAAAGTTAGAATTAAGGAATTTAGGTATCCATATAACTTTTTTTTTTTTAATCCTAACCCAAGAACATGTTTTCCATTTTTAGAGAAAGAGAGGAAGGGAGAGGGAGAGAGAGAAAGAGTAACATCAATGTGACAGAGAGACATCGATTACTTGCCTCATGTATGCACTCCAACTGGGGATGGAACCTGAAACCTGGGTATGTGCCCTGATTGGGAATCAAACTTGCCACCCTTTGGTGTACAGGACGTCACTCCAACGAATTGAGCCATACTGGCCAGGGCATCCATACAACTTTTTAAAAGCTTCATAATTCTGCCCTGGCCAGTTTGGCTCAGTGGTTGGGGTGTCGGCCTGTGGTCCAGAGAGACCCAGGTTCGGTTCCTGCTAAGGGCATGTACCTCGGTTGCAGTTTGTCCCGGGCCCTGGTTGGTCGTGCAGATGGCAACCACTCAATGTGTCCCTTTCACATCGATGTTTTCTCTCTCTCTCTCTCTCTCTCTCTCTCTCTCTCTCCCTCTCCCTCTCCCTCTCCCTCTCCCTCTCTCCCCCTCCTTCCCTCCCTCCCCCTCCTTCCCTCCCTCCCTTCCACTCTATCTGAACAAAAAATGGAAAAATGTTCTCGAGTGAGGATAAAAAAATAAAATAAAAGCTTAATAATTCTAATATTGTATCATTGTTCATAGAATCAATCTCCAACTCCTAAAGCTTACTCTCAGAGTTCTAAGAGTTTAATTCACTGATGCTAAGAAAATGAGTCCCCATAAGATATTGAGTTCAGTGCGGCTGGTGTGGTTCAGTGGCTGAGCATTGACCCATGCACCAAGAGGTCGCCAGTACAATTCCTGGTCAGGACACATGCCCAGGTTGTGGGCCTAATCCCCAGTGGGGGGCATGCAGGAGGTAGCCAATAGAATGTTCTCTCTCATCAATGTTTTTATTTCCCTCTCTCCTTCACACTTCCTCTCTCTAAAATCAATAATGGAAAAAAAAAAGGAAAAGAAAATGAGTGAACTGATTAGTTGGTGGAGTAGTAATGATGTTTATTTTAAAAAAAGATATTGAGTTCATAGACATTAATTTAATAAAGGAGAGACTTTATTAACTCTGTGTCAAGAAATTGATGTCTAAGTCAGCAAGAATCAGTGGGAAAAAATGTTTTCTTTGCTAAAAATGCTTATGAGTTTAAATGAGGTTAAGGTATCTTTTTACTACATTCATTCATCTGAAAGATCTATCCTATCTCCATTCTCTTCACTTGATCTTCAAAAACTCAAGATAAAAAATAAAATATGCAATTTTATATCTCTTTTTGCATTTGACTGTGAAAGTATATTTATAGGATAAGTGAGCAGCTTACTATACTAGAAAGATATCAATAACAAGAAAAACAACTGATCACATGCCAGGCATTATTCTAAGTGCTTTGTATGTATTATTTCATTTAACCCTTATGTAATAGGTACTACTATTATTTCTATTTTACACACAAAGTAACTGAGGCACATAGGTTAAACAATTTGTCCAATATCACATATTAATAGTATGCAGTGGCTTGGGTGAGTATGCCTCTTTTAATTACTAATATTCCTTTATTTTGCCATATTCTTATTCTAGTAACTAAAAGCGCAAAAATGTAATTAATAAATAGCTTGATCACTATGTAAAAGACTAGAATGATAAACTCTTAGACACTCAGATATTTAGCGCATTTTTGTAATTTTGGATTTATTTAACATGTACTATCAAACCAAGTTTGTTTCACTATTTGTTTATTTAATTATTATAATCACTCCATGGGATATACATTTATCCTAATTTTTACAGGAGATAATTGGGGCCCAATTAGTAGATTGAACACAATTTAAACCGTTACAAAATTATTAAATCTAACTTCAAGTCCAATATCCCCTCCTTTGTGCTTTATTAAACCTGTTTAAAACAAATGTAGTAACAAGTTTGTTCATGATTCACAAAAATACATCCAGCTCTCTTGTGTACATCCAGACCCTGTCCTTAAATACGTCTTTTCAATTTAAAAAAATTTCAGGATCAATGATTTGCCAAGCATCTATTTAAGAATTCTATTAAAAAACCCATTAAATTACAAAAGCTGTTTATCAGAAAAGCAAAGATGCTCAAAAACTTAACTTATATATAACTATCATCAACTACCAAGTGACCAGCACTATAAAAGGGGTAAAGAAAAAGATTTGAAGCAGTAAACTAATAAAACATACTCAACTCCCTAAGAAAGTGTGAAAGTCAAAGAGTCACAAAAAACTGCAGTTGCCATTTTGGCAACAAGTATGCCAAATAAATTCTTTTTTTTTTTTTTTATCCTCACCCGAGGATATTTTTTCCATTTTTGTACAGATAGAGTGGGAGGGAGAGAGAGGAAAGGAGAGAGAGAGAGAGAGAGAAACATCGACGTGAAGGGACACATCGAGTGGCTGCCACCCGCACGACCAACCAGGGCCGGGGACAAACTGCAACCGAAGTACGTGCCCTTAGCGGAAACCGAACCCGGGTCTCTCCGGACCACAGGCCGACACTCTAACCGCTGAGCCAAACTGGCCAGGCTAAATAAATTCTTATTAGATGGTGAGGTCCGTGAAGGCAAAAGTTATTGAAGGGAAAAACAATATGTAAATATGTCCATTAACAGGTTATCAGCTGAATAAATTAAGATACAGCCATGCAACAGACTAATATATACAGCCATAAGAAAGGCAAAATAGCTCTGTATCTATCTACCCACCTACATATCTACAGGATGATCTCCAGAATATATCTATATATCTATATATCTATATATCTATATATCTATCTATATATCTATATCTATATATCCATATATTTTATATCCTCACCAGAAGACATTTTTTGCATTTATCTTCAGATAGAATGGGAGGGGGTGGTGGTGAGAGAGAGAGAGAAACATGGATGTGAGAGAGACACATCTATTGGTTGCCACCCACACGACCCAATCCGGGGCAGGGACAAACTGCAACCGAAATACGAAATACGTGCCCTTAGCGGGAACCAAACCTGGGACTCTTTGGTCCGCAGGCTGATGCTCTAACCGCTGAGCCAAACCGGCCAGGGCTCTAGAATATATTTTAATCAAAAAAGCAAGTAGAGGAAGTGCATATATTGTGTAACTATTTACATAAAAAGGCGATGGGGCAATAAAATAATTATACACATTTGCTTACTTAAAAATTTAAATATTTAATTCTGGGGGAGGGAAGGAATAGTGTAGAGGAAACAGGGCTAAAAGCTAAACTTCTTTAACAGTATATTCCTCGTTTTATAGATTTTACTTTGAAACTATGTAAATATTTTCTATTTTGATGTAAAATTTAAAGTAAAATTAACTAAAAAAACTTTAAAACATAATCTATAATAAAAGTAAAATCAAACAAAGCTTATTAAGGCATAATCACGGAAAGAAATCATTCAATGTGTCTTTAAAATAGAGAAATTTGACTGTTCATCCCAAAGGGCTATACCGTGGGAATAAAAAGAGCTACAAAAAGATTTTATATTATTTTCAGCTGGTATTGGTAGTACTGGTATTTTTATCCCAAGACTACTGTATGCATAGTATGGGACAGAACAAGTAAGTAATTTCACTGTCATTGAAAAATGGAATTTTTAGAGTAAGGGAAAGGAAATAGAGATGAAAGATTGTTAAGCCCCCCAATATTTAATTAGAAATATCAACATGAACTCATAGTGTATTTTTTTTTTTAATGAAAACAGGATGCATTGTATCTTTGAAAAAATTACCCACATTATTTCCTAGCTCTGACCACTAAAACAGACTTAAAAACAAAAACCAACACTGTGCTAAGTAGCACCCCTGACATGCAGACTGTGGTCTCTAAATACCACTTCCCACTAAAAGAATGAGTTCCCCTTGAAGAAAAGGGTTCATTCCAAGTCTGCGGAAGAAATGTATAAGATAAAACCTAGAGCATTGTCATGCTAGAAAGGAAGGAAGCTATCAAAGATTATGAAGACTTGTCTAAGAAGCTTTTAAAACAAATAAAACAAAAATACCTCCTTGGTCACATTTGGAGGATTCTATAGAACCAAAAAATTATTATAAATTTTGGTAAATAAAGGGAAGTAATAAAATATAAATTGTCTTATATAAACTGTACCTCAGGGTAACAAAATAGTTGACACGGGAAAGTTTCTATTTATGGAACTATTCTAGCTTATAAATTAAGAAGGAATAATAACATTAAAATATCATTTTATAACTGTTAATGAATTAATTAATTTAGGCAATAATCACCAATGGCTACAATCATCACAAAAAGAAAGACTTTATGTTCTTCCTTAGGAAAGCACTCAATACTATATATGAAGTAGTCTTGATTCCTATAAAAAATTTATCTAATCACCAATTTACAGGAAATACAGAGAAGAGTAATACACTACATTACATTACAGTAATCTAAACACAAAATCCAGACCAAGAAACTGTAGGTCAAATGACTCAGTTTCTTTAATAACAAAGTTGAGAGAGGGAGGGAGGAAAAGAGAGAGAAATAAATTAGAGATTAAAAGTAACATTAAACTCAGCTGGTGTGGCACAATGGACTGAGCGTAGCCCATGGACTGAGAGGTCCCAGTTTGATTCCCAGTCAGGGCACATGCCCAGGCTGCTTGCTCAATCCCTGCTATGGGGTATGCCGGAGGCAGCCAATTGATGTATCTCTCTCACATCAATGTTTCTCTCACTCTCTCCCTTCCTCTCTTACTAAAAAATAAATAAAAACATATTAAAAAAAAAAAAAGAAAGAAATATTAAGAAGCAGATCTGGTCTGGCCAGGTAGCTCAGCTGGTTAGAAAGTAGTCCCAATAAACAAAGGTTTCTGGTTTGATCAGAAGTAACCAATGAATGTGTAAATAAATGGAATGACAAATCTCTCTCTCTCTCTAATCAATTTTTTAAAAAAGCAGCAGCAGCAAGTCTGCTAGTTGTAATATAGGAACAACCTTGCTTGGATCCCAATTCTAATAAAGAAATTTTTAAAAATATGTATAAGACATACTGGAAATATAACTAGTAACTGGATAGTTAAACAGAATTATGCTGGATAAATTCCTAGCCACCCTGTCATGGGTTCTATCAAATAAAAAAGAAGACATTGGTATTAGGTACCAAAAATTAAATAACACCTTGAAAGAGTCTATGTATATTTCAAATGATCAGAAGCTGAAACTTCAGCTACAGACATAATGTATACATAAATGGCAATAAAAAACTGAATATGATACTTAACTATATTTTATAATTTTATGATATGATTACTTGTTTGTGGCACAAGAAGTATATCAGAAATTAAATTAAGAGGTGCTACGCCTAGCAAAATTAAAGTCCACTTTAAAGTCTGTGGAAAATTCACTTGTTAGAAAGATGACAAGTATCTTTAATACCTGAGTCATGAAAGTTTAAAAGGTAAAGGCTTCAAACTTCAAAACGGTACAAGAATTTAATGAAGCTCTAGCAATGCCTACTTTGCAGTTTTTCCCCCTTAGTATTAGATGTGATAATATAGTTAAAACATACCTAGCCCCTTCTTCCTGGCTCATAATAATTGCTTCATAAAATGGAAAATTGCTCAATTTTTACATACCTTGACAAAGATCACAGGAAGCGTCTGTTTGGCTCGACTATAATGTCTGGCAACTCTGTATACTGTTTCCGGAACATAGTCCAGCACCAGATTAAGATAGACCTCATCTTTCTGAAAAAGTTTATTAAAAAAACACACAAAATAACACAATTAGAAGCTAGTCTCTAAATATTCAAATTAGAGTAAATGCTCTACACATTCATGGATTCAATTTTAATTACACAAAATTAAATCAGAATATAACCATAATAATAACAATCTACCACACCTTTATAATATTGTTAAGATTCCTAATCATATTTGAACTACTATTTAGATTATATGATTTATCCTGTCAGAAAAGGTGTCACAGCAGTAGAGTACTGAACTGGGAGCTAAAATAGTACATTTCTAGCCCTAGCTCTGCTACTAACTGATGTGTACAAGTCACTTAACTCTCTCTAGGTTTCAGTCTCTTCAAATATACTACCAAAAGTTGGACAAGATGTTCTTTAAAATTTCTCTAACCTCTACAAAAAGATTCTATGGTTACCTAATAGTCTATACTTAGTCTAACAACAACTTGTCTTCTACAATTAACTGAAAGAAAAAGAATAACTTATAAGGCAGCAAGTTACCATACTCACAAGTTTATAGCAGGTCACATGTTTAAACATCCATTTCAGCAGCATAAAGACACCAATCCAAGATCATTGGAAAGAAAGAAGGGAATTCCAACTAAGTACCAAGTAGAAAAGAGGAACAGAGTGCTACCCTTACCCTGAATATGTGAACAATATAAGTAAACTGAAGCAGAAAACAAAGTTCAGAAACACTGTGTTCAAGTCTAGAATTAGCTACTGAGTAGGTAAAATATGCAGGTAAACAAACTCTTAATCTTCTCAATTTGAAATCATCTTACCTACCAAACTAAGTGAAGAATTTCAATTTTCACCATTTATTGAGTATTTTCTAAATGTTAGTAGCCACTACAAAGGGAGTAAGGGTGCAGGTATAAGAGATGACATCTAAACTGTGTGTGAAAGGACCATTTCAGGCAGAGAGAAAACCATATTCAAGATGTAGGGTCAAAGAGCAAAGTAGAGCTCAGAAAAGTTTCGTGAGACAGCACATCATTGACCCTACCACCTTTCCACTATCCTTCACTTTCCTGTTCTTCTCTCTTCCCTTTCATATCCAGCTTAAATTCCATGGCCTACCACAGGGGACAGTAAACAATACCCAATATGTGTAGCCTGTTTTTATAGGTAGAGTTTTATGGGAACACAGTGATGTTCATTCACTTAAGTACTGTCTATGGCTACTTTTGAGCTACAATGGCAGACTTAAGTAGCTGTGACAGATAACACAGCCTGTACAAGCAAAAATATTTACTACCTGGCCCTTCATGAAAGAGTTTGCATAGTCCACTCTAGTATGTACTCTTCTCTTATGCCACACTTATTTAATAAACCACAACACTGGTTAACTCCAAACTTTCCACACATTTCCTACCTGTACCCAAGATATGAACATGGTTACAAAACTAAAATTGTGTTGGTTGGTCTCACATTAAATTCATCTTTGAGAATTTCAATCAGACCCATAAAATACTACATTTGCCTAGTCTATTCATTTTTTCAAACTACTTGATTTCTTCTATTCAATCTCCAATACCTCTTCTTCCCTTCTCACCTAAAGTTTATGACGTTGCTTACACCATTGCATGTACCCATCTACCAGCACCTATCCCTATATGCTTTTCCTTACCTTCTCTAGAGATAAACTGACCAGGCCCTTTCTAAGACAAACCCTGCTACTCGTTTTTTTTTTTAAAAGATACTATTCTGTTTCTCCTATTCAGTCATCACTTCAGTAATTTCCGGTCTTTCTCCATCAATTATTCTTTCTGTGGAAGCATTACAATCAGGACACAAAATTGCTGCTATTTCTCCCATCATTAAAAAACAACAACAACAACAAAAAACTCTACCTGCACAATCACCACTATATTTTCAGGTCGTCTTTAAAAGCAAAATGCCTATAAATGACATAGAGACCAAAAAAACAATTAAAAAAATCAATGAAACAAAGAGCTGGTTTTTCAAAGAGATAAACAAGACTGATGGACCCTTAGCTAGACACACCAAGAAACAAAGAGAGAGAACCCAAATACACAAAATCAGAAATGAAAGAGAAGTAACAACTGACACCACAGAAATACAAAGGATCTTTAACAAATACTATGAACAATTATATGGCAACAAATTCGACTAAGCGAAATGGACAAATTTCTAAAACACACAGTCTTCCAAAACTAGACCAGGAAGAGATAGAAAACTTGAACAGACAAATAACAACTAAGGAAATTGAAGAGGTAATCAAGACTCTCCCCGCAAACAAAAGCCCAGGCCCGGATGGCTTCACGGGGGAGTTTTAGCGAACATTCAAAAAAGAACTAACACCCAATCTCCTCAAACTATTTCAAAAAATTCAAGAAGAAGGAAGACTTCCAAACTCGTTTTATGAGGCCAGCATAATTCTAATTCCAAAACCAGAAAAAGACACTACACAAAGAAAGAAAACTACAGGCCAATATCCCTGATGAACATAGACGCCAAAATCCTGAACAAAATACTAGCAAATCGAATCCAGCAATACATCAAAAAAATTATTCACCATGACCAAGTGGGATTCATCCCAGGGATGCAAGGCTGGTACAATATTCGCAAATCAATAAATGTGATACAACACATAAATAAAATGAAGAATAAAAACCACATGATCATATCAATAGATGCTGAAAAAGCATTCAACAAAATCCAGCACCCATTTCTGATAAAAACGCTCAGCAATGTGGGAATAGAGGGATCATATCTCAACATAATAAAGGCCATATATGAAAGACCTATAGCCAACATCATACTCAATGGACAAAAACTAAAAGCATTTCCCCTTAAGAACAGGAACAAGACAGGGATGTCCACTTTTGCCACTCTTATTTAACATAGTACTGGAAGTATTAGCCACAGCAATCTGACAGGAAGAAAAAATAAAAGGGATCCAAACTGGAAAAGAGGAAGTGAAACCGTCATTATTTGCAGATGACATGATACTATAACACAGAAAACCCTAAAGCCTCCGTCAAAAATCTACTAGACTTAATAAATGAATTTGACACAGTAGCAGGATACAAAATTAATGTCAAGAAATCGATGGCATTCTTATACACCAATGATGAACTCATAGAAAGAGAAACTGAAAAAACAATCCCATTTATTATTGCGGCAAAAAAATTAAGATACCTAGGAATAAACTTAACCAAAGAAGTAAAGGACCTATTTCCAGAAAACTACAGGACATTGAAAAAAAGAAATAGAGGAAGTATAAAAAAGTGGTAGCACATACCTTGTTCATGGATTGAAAGAATTAACATCATTAAAATGTCCATATTACCCAAAGCAATCTATAGATTCCATGCAATCCCGTCAAAATACCAACAACATACTTCACAGAACTAGAACAAATACTTCAAAAGTTCATATGGAACCAAAGAAGACCCCGAATAGCCACAGCAATCTTGAAAAAGAAGGACAAAATAGGTGGGATCACAATTCCTGATATCACATTATACTACAAAGCTACTGTAATCAAAACAGCCTGGTACTGGCACAAGAACAGGCATATAGACCAGTGGAACAGAATAGAGAACCCAGAAATGGACCTAAGGCAATATGCTCAATTAATATTTGACAAAGGAGGCAAGAGCATACAATGGAGTAAAGACAGTCTCTGTAATAAATGGTGTTGGGAAAATTGGACAGCTACATGCCAAAAAAAAAAAAAAAAGAAACTAGACCATCAACTTACACCATACACAAGAATAAACTCAAAATGTATAAAAGACTTAAATGTGACCCGTGAATCCATAAAAATCCTAGAAGAAAATGTAGGCAACAACATTTCGGACATTATACGCAGCAGAATTTTCACTGATACATCATCTAAGGCAACAGAAACCAAGGAGAAAATGAACACATGGGACTACATCAAACTCAAAAGCTTCTGCACAACAAAAGATACAATTATCAAAATGAAAAGGCAACCCACTGTATAAGAGAGTATAATTGCCAATGATATATCAGATAAGGGGTTAATTTCCAAAATATATAGAGTACTCCTACAATGCAACAAAAGGAAGACAAAGAAACCAATTAAAAAATGGACAGAGGACTAAATAGACACCTATCCAAACAGGACATACAAATGGCCAAGAGACATATGAAGAAATGCTCAACATCACTAATCATCAGAGATATGCAAATTAAAACAACAATGAAGTATCACCTCACACCTGTCAGAATGGCCGCCATCTACAAATCATCAAACAACAAGTGTTGGCGAGGGTGTGGAGAAAAGGGGACTCTGGTACACTGCTGGTGGGAATGCAGACTGGTGCAGCCACTATGGAAAACAATATGGTATTTCCTCAAAAAATTAAAAATTGAACTTCCATTTGACCCAGTGATCACAACCCAACTGTCCATCAGTAGACGAATGGATAAAAAAGTTGTGCTACACAATGGAGTACTACGCAGCTGTAAGAAAGAAAGATCTCTTATCCTTTGAGACTACATGGAGGGACCTGGAAAGTATCATCCTAAGTGAAACAAGCCAAACAGAGAAAGACAAGTTTCATATGATCTCACTTATTTGTAGAATATAATGAACATAACAGTCTGAGGAATGAGGTAGTCCCAGAGACGTGGAGGTGGGGTACAGACTGACAATCTCAAGAGGGGGGTGGTGGGGGAGAGATAAACCACAGAACGTATATGCATATATGCATGAACGGTGGACATGGACAACAAACTGGGGAAAGGGCAGGGAGGGAGGGGGAGGGAGGAATCAGTGGGGGAAAAAGGAGAAACATCTGTAACAAAATTAATTAATAAAAAATAAAAAAATAAAAATAAAAGTGGCATTTCTTAAATACTGAAAAACTAACAAAAAAAAGTTGTGCTACATATACACAATGGAGTACTATGCAGCTATAAGAAAGAAAGATCTCTTATCCTTTGAGACGACATGGAGAGACCTGGAAATTATTATCCTCAGCGAAACAAGCCAAG